TATTTTTGAACCCAAATGTAGAACTGACTCCCGATGGGATTCTAAAAGATCATCAGAAGATTTGACAAAACTGGCAAAAACTGAGAAATCTGTGAATGTTTATATGCACTATAACATCTTTCTTAGCTTAATAAACTATCAGGCAACTCATGGACCAGACACAAAATGGCCTGTTTTTAGAGCCATTGGTATATAGTGAATATATTTTTTACTGATTACTATCGCCTAAATGTTAAAGAATCGTCCCTAAAGTAGATAAGTTGGTGGCCCATCACTTCACTAAAAACTGGTTCCATAGCCAGCATGTACACATTATGCTAGTATGACTGCTGTTTAGGTCTCTATGGTAAACCAGTAGGCTAGTTTACAGGGTTTTTTCTCGCCACGTTCTGTCTACGTTTACATATCCCTATGAAAATCACAAACCATAATCTGACACCTTTGTCAAAACAACGAGTAAGCCAGGATTTCGTAAGCCAGGGTTTGGTGCTGTCAGAATCACAGATTAGGGAGTTAATACATATGAATCTGTTACATTTCATAAACAATGGAATCGTGTTTGCAGCTCACAGTCACATGAAGATCAACCGTCTTCAGGACATAACAGTAAAAATAATGTCAAGGTCATGTACCTTAGTTTATTATCTCAGAATTAAAGTGCAGTCAAACAGGGGAAATAATCTGTGTCGTGAGAATGTTTGTAAAAGAATCTGTATTACTTGTGTACGTGCATTTGTTTTCACAAGCTTGTGAAAAACGTGACTTTCAAAATCGTCAATGAACTCCCGAAGTCTCTATCTACAGATCTTTAAGGTTCAAACACAGACACTCACATCAGACGTTCCCTGTAACTCACACCCAATCTGACGTAGTTAATTCAAACAAAACATTGACGTGTATGTGTGGTATATTTTTCGTTGTTGAGAAATCAGAATTAATGAGCGAGGCACTAGCAAGTGAAGTGTACTGGTCACATATAAATATAGAAAACGTCCAATTAAAACTGGCCTAACATCAAGTGTCCACATCCGCTCCTGCAGCTGGAATAGGGTTGGTACTTACAACAGTCATGACAAGTCACAAAACCTAACCCACACTGAAATCGGAGAGTTCCTCTAAGTTATCTCCCTTTTCAATAATATCAGATTCTTTTTCCTTTTCATATTGCATCAATTAAGTTCAGATACATATCTATACTTCAACAAAGCCTGAGCATTTGTTCTCTCCCTTTACAGGATTTTTTAAAAATACATTACATGTGAAAAGAAAAAACCTGATCCCTTAATGAAAGGTTAGCTAGCCACCTTCCCAAACGAGACACAGTTTAAATGTTTACTAAATGTGCAATTACTATAATCTATTACCAACTCAACCCAGGTACACTAACCTGCTTCTAAACCTTCACAATCTTGAGTAATCTTTTTTTTTTTTAATAAATCACATATTACAAAATGCTAAGATACTCAAATTTTCTTAATGATTCAATATATGTCTCATGTAAATAGTATTCCAGCAAGAAAAGCCAAAGGTTTATATATAAATGTTTATTTTACTGCTATTAATTATCAATTATAAATTTACATAGAATGTAACAAGACTAGAGATAATTGTTTTATATTATTCCCTAGTTGGCGGACAAGTCCCGAACACTTTTTTCTAGTATCTAGTTTAGTCAATACCAAGGTACAAGTATCTTTCAATCTATCTAATTGAAAGTAAAAATTAGAGATCAGTTGAAGTTTATCTTGTAAAGATCTTGTTTTACCTACATAACACCTGTAATCTTACCTTTATCATACCTGGCCACCATCATTACCTGTCCTGGGTGCCTACCTGATAATCTTGTTATTCAAAATGTGACTTAAGGGGCTGGTTCTTACCTGTAGGGGTCACTTAAAAATCATTGGTCCACTACAACTTAAGATTCTGTCTTGACCTTGAGGCAACAAGTGTCATTTTACAAGATAATCTTGAACTTTTTCCACTGTTAGTGACTTAAGGGGTGGTTATGTCATCAGACTCCAGAACATTATTGAATTGGACAGTGGTCAGTATAGAATTGACCCTTCCTGTCAAAACTGAAAACCATAAATTAAAGTCTCATTACTTGTAAGATGCCAACATTTTTTTGACATAAATGTGAAAACAAATGTGAGAATTATGTGAAAGGCCTAGACTGACATAGAGCTCCACTGTTTACAAGGGCAGTGTTAAATACTATTTCATCATCATAAAATAAATTTTACAAGCCAATCATTTCACAGATACATCATGTCAGAGGTCACCATTATAAATAAATGTGACATTGATTGGTCTTTTTTTGAACTGTTACGTTGTCTGTATTACCTAATAAAAAGTTAAATTAATTGCCAGGAGAAAAGTTGACAAATGATACGAGGGACATCGATAAGACTTTAATTTGTTACCTATATAGACCCTTTTAAGAAAATGATGATGCAATCAAGGTAAAAAGGAAAGAACTGCATTAAAACATAGGTTGGGCTGTATACATTCAGCATTAAAACATAGGTTGGGCTGTATACATTCAGCATTAAAACATAGGTTGGGCTGTATACATTCAGCATTTTTCATTAGCTATCTAAATATCATATGGTAAAGAACACAAATGATTTGTTTCACCTACTATGGAAATTGAAAAACTGGTGATGCTTAAACTCAGAAATTATTCTTCAACTGCAAGCCAACTAAGTAAATATTTGAAAGGATGTTTGTGTGATAATTTAATATTTATCATCGGAGTTCATTGACATATTTCAGTTTCTTTCTCTTGTGTTTCATGCAGGTAATATTTCACCTGCAATGTTGACAAATCAATACTTAAATTGTTATATTTGAGTATTGTTATACTTTTTTAAGTTGTTATGAATGATTTACTGCAATTTTGCTGCAAAGCTCCAATGACAGGTAGTAATAAACTATTTTCCATAGACGAACATTATTGCAGGAGTAAAATAACTTCAATACAGTTGCAAAATTAGTCTCCTGTGATAAATGAACGAGACTAACACACTGTGAACCAATTAATATTTCCTATTACCTTGTTACAGTGCAGGGAATCAAATATCCAAGCATGATACATAATTAATACACTTTTTTTTAATTAGCTTGTTTCTGTTCATATAGCTGGAATTGGCGATAATTGAAATATAGCCACGAAATATGTGTATAATAATGAGACGGAAAGAATGAGACGATTGACAGATGAGATGAATCATCATGGAAAGGTTCATATTTTATGAACGAACTGAGGTATTTCATGACGAACATGAATGAAAATTTTACAAAAGAATTCATAGCTTTACATCTCTGTTGTCTTCAGTTACCAAATATAGATGGTTCTCTTAAAAAGAAATGCTTTCAGAACAGAGCTAGCTACATGTAACAGGCAGGCAGCGAAAAAACTTTTTTGATGAAAACCACAGATCAGAGAGTATTAAGTATCAAAATATTGGGGCTGATTTACAGAGATAGGAGGAAGGTAACACGGACAGGCAAGATTATTTGTCTGGGAGAAAATGTCTTTTGTTTATACTGTGCTTTGAGTGAGATTATGATCATATTCAGTAAAACAACTGGGGCAGTATGTTGGGGCAGTATGTGGGGGCCGATCCACAATCTGACAAAATCTCGTAAAGTGGGCTTGGTAGAGACTGTAGTATACATGTATATACAATGTTACAGTATGAACATTTTGTTTTTCGTTTTCGTGTGGTTTTGAAATTATATCTTTTCTACAAAGACACTTTGTCACTCTATGTATACATAGGAAAAAAATCATAAAATCTTCCCAATCATCATTTTATAATGAACTAACTCGAAAATAAAACAGTCTAATACAAGAATATGATTGTTGTGATGCGATAAAACTTCAATGAATCAACCGTACATTTGTAGAGTAAACTTTGTCGCCAACCCTAACTTTTCACTTAATCAATAAGACTAGCTAGCTACATCACAAAGCCGTAAAATGTTACATCGAAAAGAGATTGATAGATTAAAACATTGAACTTTAAGTGTTATTTATGCACCTTGTATAACCACAGGGAACATGTTCCACTTCATATAACTAAGGGAACACACACATTGCATTTAATGTAACTAGAGGGAACATACACATTTAACTTCATGTTACTTAGGGAACATAAACATCTAACTTTTTTCAGAACTTTAGGGAACACACACATATTTCACTTGATAGAATTAGAATGTAAAGCGACACCCATTTTCACTACATACAATCATTTGGAACACACACATCGAAGGTATGTATAGGTAAAGTATGAAAAGCTATGCATCGTACTAGTATTTATTTTTATATATACAGATAATTTAGCTATTGTCATCTCATTTACAGGTAAACTGATACTGCCAACTGATACTGATATTTTAGACGGAGAGTCCTGATTTTGGACCCTTTAATTGAGCTTTTTCCAACTATTCCTATTTTCTATGATCTGATCATTTCATTTGAAAGAACAGCTCAAAAGATGCTATTTAAATTTAATTTTTTCCTTAGTGTGTACATACACACATTTTAGTATGTTTTTAATTCTGAACACACGTAATCTCTGCCATGGAAATTTAAACAAATTTGGCAAGTATGTAAACTAAAATCACAACAGGTAATGTTAAAGTATCGATATAAAAGTAAAGTGATATTATTTACTCCATAGAATACAACTACATAACAAGAAACACAAGTAGGAACCTTAAAGTACACAAGACTTAATTTGCAAAAAATAAACTCAGCACAAATGTTCGTTAGTCTCATTGTCACCGTTTTCTGGACAGGTAGTTATTAAGTTATGACACAAGTGTTTCATTTCTCTACGCAAAAATAAACTCGTCACTCAAAATGAAGACCATAAATAATCCAGAATAACAGATTTTTTGCCAGCCATGATGAAACTTGAAAATAGACTTTCATTTCTATTGTGCTGTAACAGATTTGAATTTTATGCATTTAACTGTGAACCTACCTTCAGTCTTGTTGGAGGAAACCTGTCGTCCGTGAGTGTGCCAGGAAGGCAAGAGAAATACAGGCGCTCTTCTCTTTCCGTGACCATGGCGTTCAACGGAGGGAGTAATCATTATTTGATCTGTTGGAATTTTTCCCAAACAATTTGTTTTTATATATAACTCGCTAGAGTTTCTTGTTTACATAGGTTGATTTCTAACAGTTCTCCACAGTAGCGACTAAACGACTTAACGACTAAACAAAACTTATATTCTCCGACCTCTAGCTGTTCAGCATTCAATGTATCTGGCCTTGGAATTAGAATATAAATCACTTATATTATAGCAGTTGTAGCTCCATCCATTTTTTTCTGGTACTAATTATCTCCGCTTGCTGCCTTTACTGTAGTTGTAATTTGGTACGGCTGACATTCAAGTGTTTAAAGTCTGTGTCAAATACCATTTGAAATCACTGCAAGCTGAAGTTGTATCTGTTTTCGAGTCGCTGGTTGTCAGCTGACAAACCTGGAGATCTAGTGTGATTTACAAGTCTGGTAACTTCTCTGCACCAGTTAGCGAAGCAACACATTCATATTTTCTATGCAATTAGACTAAACAATGCTGGCACTCATCTTAGTTAGTAGTAATTAATTACCGGGCACTGTTACCATACAGCTGCAATGCTAGTTTACTGCAGACAAGTCACTTGTGGTATACAAGGCTATGTCCAGTTAGGTCTGAAGACTGACCAGAAATGACCCTTACTGACCACAGCATTCAGATTTAAGTGGTCCGTTTGTCCACCACGGGTGATGAATGTCACAGCGTCCTTGATTGCAATTGCATACCTGTACTAATATGACAGGTAAAACTCAGGTGCTCTTTCTATACGAGTAATTGTCTCTGCTCAGTTAACTGTTCCAGTTGACTCCCTAGGGTGCTGTGATGATCCCTGGTTAGTCCTACACCTTTTTACACCTTTGTGGGCCCGTGATGATCTGTATTCAATCCTAGTCCTTATTACACCTCCTCTTACTGTGTGACTTTAGCTGCAGTGCTCCAGTTTTTTAACAAAAATATACTGCCTAGGGTGGTGTAGTAGATAATGGACTTTTCTGTGATCAAGCAGGTCAGCTAACACCTTAACTGGACAATGGTCAATGGCTTAATATACCAATGTTTTCCCAAAGTGACCATTCCCATTTGCAGAAGCTTTGTGTAAACAGTAATCCTCTAAGTAAACGATACACAGAAAAGCCCCTTCCCCGCGCTAACACTGAGGCCTTAGAATGACGCCAAAAATTGTATGAATGAGTACACCAGTAAAAGCACACACTGTCCTGGGAAATTATAGTACAGCCTAGCCACACTTATGAATGAACCACTTCTGTTGCTTGTTACCCATAAATCACTACTTCACCTTTAGTCCAATAGCAGCAAAGCTCATTTACATAGCTCCGCCCCCTTGTAATCCCTGCAGGTTTATGAATGAATGGTTTATCAGCTGAGGCCCCTGTGAGATAAGTAGCGTGGTTGACCTAGTTGATAAAATGGCAGATGAGGTTCCCGATGGGAGATTTTGAATAAATTTGTACATGAAAACTGAAGAATAAGAGCATTTTCTAGCAATTAATCCAATCAAAACATGACATTATGATGCTAATATATTTCAAATATTTTTTCCAAACCTACAACAAGTCAAAATTCATCAGAATTTGTCCAAAATTTCAATAACTCAATATTTTATATCCCAGCCCAGTTTTAATCTTCCCAATAGGTTGCCTTGTGAATGAACTCTAGGATTGTACAAGGCCTGTATACCTACAACGTTTAACAGCTGAAGTTTATACGGCCCTGGCCACTACTGCTAGCTTTTACAGCTGAAATGGCTTAAACAACCTCAGCTAACTCTACGGATAATGCCTGGGGACTATTACTGCATTACCTACTCATTTCATTCTCTAATAAATTAACCCCTGATGTAGATTTGTTTCTAGGGCTAGAGATGTTCTATACAGTAACCTGGCAGTATTCTAAATGGTTCAGAACGACCAGTGTACAATAGAATTTGAGAATTCTCAAAAATTAGAAACGACTTTGATAATTGTACAGCTGTGTTACTATGGGCTATAAAGGTCTGTACTACATTTGAGAAAGACCTGCATCCTAACCATCCTAACTACCCATCCTTACTACCCTAATTTCCCATCCTTAACATCCTTACTACCCTAACTACCCTAACTAACCATCCTAACTACCCATCCTTACTACCCTAATCTCCAATCCTTAACATCCTTACTACCCTAATCTCCCACCCTAACCATCGTCACTACCCATCCTTACTACCCTAATTTCCCATCCTTAACATCCTAACTACCCTTACTACCCATCCTAACCATCCTAACTACCCATCCTTACTTCCCTAATTTCCCATCCTTAACATCCTAACTACCCTAACTACCCATCCTAACCATCCTAACTACCCTAACTACCCATCCTAACCATCCTAACTACCGTTAGCAGAGCTATCCAGGACTGTATTACTTTCGTTGTACAGTAAATTGTGGAAATACTCACAGTTAAAGCTCAAAATATTAATTTATTAAACCTGAACTGAATTAAATGTTTAACCCTCTAATAAATTTAGCTTGTTGTTACAGAATTTAGTCTTGTAACCTGGATAACCCTTTTCCAAAGCAAACTCATGTTTGACATCAGATATGGCATTTTAACAGTAATCATGACAACAGGTTTAAATGCAGGTCCTTTTACCCTACTCATAGGTTGCCATAAAGGTGATAATAGAATTGTTTACAATGTACCCTCACAGGCTCGGCAGTTTATCACAAGTTTTCAAAAAATTTGGAAAACTGATAAATCAATTTACCAGAGTCCAACGTCCTATAGGTGCTGGTTGGTAGATGTCCTGGTAAGGCCCTATTGACTTTTTTCACTTAAAAAACCTTCCGTTGATGTTTAATTTTTTCATCAAAATTCAACAAGTTTCTCTCATAAATATTGTATTTAAGCTATAGTGGTATCAGAAAAGAGGTGTCAATACATAGCTTTTGGCAGTTGTATTGGGACACCAAATATACACAATTTAAATATCTAGTGATATGCAGCCAAACATCCATATATGGGAGTAAATTAAGATGTTTGTATTCTGTGTGCCTTAGTCGTAAATGCACCATGTAAGACACCTAAGAACTACTCATAGCCGAGCCTTACTGGCTCACCAGGCCTGCGTCTATAACAGAAATAACACTTTACACCAATAAACTTAATGTTCTTTAAAAATTACAATCTAATTTGGAAGAAACTACAAAATGTACGATGGTGCAATCCTGAAAAAACCACAAAGATGGTGAAGCATCGGGAGTTTTGATCCGTCATAATTACTAAACAAGACGTTTATGTCAAATTGCACATTTTCCAAACTTCCACCCTCCTCCACCTAGCCGCCTCCCACACAATATCACAGTGTAAAGCTCTGTCGTCATACCGAGGATTTTACATATGATGAAAATATACCTAAACTTAGATTTCATCGGGATTGCTAAGTTGTATGTTGATAGTCAAAATCTGCTTGAGAAAAACAACGTCTTCCATTGCAAGCACCTGTCTTAGTGAGAACCACCTCTGAAATCTAGAAATTATCTCGCGACCCATCTAGTGATTTTCCCCATTTTGTCAACAAGTTTTTATCTTTATAAATATGAAAAATTCTGAGATTCTGCTTGTAGTTACTGTAGTTTTAGAGTGAAGTCCGTTGTATTCACTGACCTAAGGATTTTTTCAAGGGGAGGTAATCACAGATAGATATTAAAATCTAATCTGAAAAGCATCAAGAGAAAGGTCAGGTCTAACTAAGGACACAGATCGGTATATATCATAATCAACTTTCTTCAAATCTTCATTTTCACAAAATACTTTACCAAGAATCAAGATGAAAGAATAGAAAATTAATTGCTATAACTAACTATTCCAAGTGCCTAATTTTAGCTGACACATCATAATTGAAAAATAACAGCAAAAGAAATGAGAATTCAGCACACACACAAAATACATAGTAACAAGTAGAACAGTGGTGTTGGGATGGAAGGATCAAGACTAACAAGGCTCTCACCCAGTTTTCACTAACATGTGTCCAGGAAAATTAATTTTAGAGGAGAAGGCTGCCGAGGGGGAGGGGGAGGGGGTTAAGGCAAACAGGAGGAGAAACATCACCTGATGATGTGAGTGCAGACTCCACTGATGTAAATGTACCCAACAGCCATCTCAGTCACTCAAACGCTCGGCCAGCTTGCTACGATATTACAAACATAACTTCGAAAAGCTTCCTTTCTCTACTAAAATAAATATAATTGACATCCAAGCATCATTGACAGGGAAAATATTAATGAAGTTCTCTCGAAAAATCATTATCATTTTCCAGACAAAATATTGATGAATTACGTGTTGGATATGTTTAACTTTGTATGCTAACCATACATTACAAAGCTTGACCCAAGCAAAGGCAGTCCTAACATCTGGTTATACTTGACAGTAAACCTTAGCTGTATTTTCTTAAAATTTATGAATGAATTTAAAAGCCCACTTTATGAAAGAGGAGGCTCCTCAGGGGAAATTTTTAAAACTTTTAAAAGCTGCAATGAAGCTCCCTCAAATCCTCAAATCAACAAAATCTTAAGTGGCTGAATTGCTTTTCGATTTTGTTAAAGGTTTTAAATTCACGCTTGCAATCTTTGTAGAATTGTTCAGAGTCTCTGTAAATTTTGCTTCAAACAGAAAATGTAGTTACGTTCATGTGTGTACATTGAACACGATTTGAAAGCCGGTAAAATCACCAGCTGAAAACATCCGCAAGAGATTCAAAGAGATTTGATCTAAATGTAGCCCTAGTATGACTCGAAATTCTGGCGAGGAATAAAATTCAAAACATGTTTTGATTTTTAATTTCAACACCAGCCTGATAAAGGTAATAGTTTTCACAAAAACAAAGCTAAATGAGTGTTCCACTGGGTTTTATGCAACACAGCATATAGCGGGTTGTAATGAGAAAACAGTGATAGTATTTCTATCTCTGTCAGAAAAGTCAGACGTTCTTTAAACTACACTTCACTACACTTCAGAAACTAAATCCACAGAAAAAAGGCTAGCCAAAATGTAATGATGAAAGGCATTTCGTTTTTTCCATGAATATAAAATATCAAAATAAGAATAATGATCATTTCTTATAAAACAGGTATAATGTTTTTTTAATTTTTCTAGGACCTGGATATTCTTTCTGAATGTACATCTGACAAATTAACTTTTTATGTCAAATTTTACTGAGAAAATGATGACTTAACTATAGTTTGGAATAAATGGCAAGAAAAAAGCAACATGATATAGGGATGAGATATTAAATATCAATCTCACTGTCACTATCTGCTGTCTCTGGTTCTCTCTCCTCTGAGAAAACTTAAATTGGGGATCGCACAGGGGCAACGTGCAAACACAATGTTGATGAAGAGATCTAACAGGGACCTAATCACCAATCGTCATAAGATCTTCATTAGTTCTATGTTACTTTGATCTTTTCTCTGTTGGTTTGAGTCGTGTCAACAGTAAATAGTGTGATAGGACTTTGTACTGCTGTGTTTGTATTGTCCTTTTCAATGTGAGGTTGTCTTTCTACCTTCATTTAGAAGAGTTATGCAAAAAGAGGGGGGGGGGGGGTATTTCTGATAGCCATATTTTTCTTTGTAATAAGTGAATTAAAATGAATCTTGCATAATTCAGTTGAAAAAGAGACACTTTCATAATATAAGAATCTAGAGTTAGAGGTTTTCCATTTTTTGCTAAAACTGTCTTAAAGTGATGAATCTACCGGATACCTATGTGGTGTCAAAAATGTCAGCATGACCTAGTATACAACTTCAAATAGTAAATCAATGCTGTGTCCTTGATTATCAGGTAATTACGGAGTTTCCTCCCCTGTAGCCAGGGATGTCTGCTGACACAAGTTCCGATAGAAAACAAGAGATTTGTGAATTTATAATGCAACCGGGACCTTGGAGGTCTCAACTCGCGCAGGAAACGTGTTCAGGTATCCGCCAGCCTGGCCCTCCCCGGGACAAGGTACGCTAGTACTATGTTATATACCCATGCTATTCCTTATCTCATTCACCCCTGAAATTTCATAATGAACTATGCCAACCTTTTGAATTGGAAGAGTTCAAATGTGTCTTCAGGTGTGAATGAGTTAAAAACGAGGCTGGGCAATTAATACAGGCGTAATTGAGTTTGCCCAATAACAAGGATACTGACGGTGTATTTGTGTGAAGGTCATTTTTAGCACTGTATGTAAACAC